GGACCGCAGCTAGGTATATCGCATCCTCGGTTCATGCGGTCTCCACTTACATCCTCTGATGATGAATCCCACATAATTGTAAGCGAATCTTACATCCACCGGTTGGGTGCAATGTGTTGCTTGAATGAAAGCTGCGAATCCAAGATCACACCCAAGTCTTTCACCTGATTCACGCGTTCGATGGTCGAGCCAAGCAGGTCATAGCTAAATATTATCGGTTGTTGTTTTCGTGAGAACGTAATAGCGGAGCATTTGGCTGGGTTCACTACCATTCTGTTTAACCTGCACCAACTAGCGAATACATTCAGTTGACGTTGAAGAAAGTGACAGTCAGCAATGGAGCAGATTCGTAGGAAGATTTTGAGGTCATCTGCATATGATAACCGAGGAGCTTCGATGACCAGATGCACGTCGTTGAAGTACAGTATAACAATTAACGGTCCCATGTGGCTTCCCTGAGGTATACCTGATGTGGCGAAGAAGCTAACTGATCTGCAATCTCCTATGGCAACTTTTAGTTGCCGACCGGTAAGATATGATCGAAACCAACTCAGAAGATTACCGCATACACCGAGCCTGCCGAGCTTAGCAATCGCAATAGCATGGTTCAACTTGTCGAATGCTGCGGATAGGTCTGAATAAATAACGTCCGTTTGAACCCAATCCGACATGCTTTCGGTTATATACGATGTGAGACACAGCAGATTGGTAGTTGTAGAGCGGCCGACAGTAAACCCATGTTGATCAGCACTCAAATACTGCTTGCAATGGGACAGCAACGGTTCCATAATCACTAGCTCGAATAGCTTCGAAACGGAACTTAACGATGTAATTCCTCGATAGTTATCCACAGCTCGTTTCCTTCCTTTTTTGTGGACGGGAAACATGTGCGCAAATTTCCAACAAGATGGAAATATGCCACCTGAGAGAGACATTCGGAACAGGCGAAGAAGCGGAATTAACAAGCTAGCAATATGTCTCTTCAAAAATACAGATGGAACTCCATCAGGTCCAGGGTTGAAGGATGACTTGAGCAGAGTCGCGGCCTTAGAAATCATTTCTGCATTAACATCAATTGCACCCAGCGTTTGATCGTTTACTGGAACGTTCCTGGCAGCCAGGTTAATATGGTCGTCAGTTAGTGTCTCATTAGTGAATACACTGGCAAACTTTTCGGAAAAAAGGTGGCATATATCCTGAACAGTGGCAGCAACTTCTCCGTTGAATTCCATAGACGATGGGAGGCCGGATTCCCTGCGTTGCTCGTTCACGTAGTTCCAAAAGGATTTCGAGTGTAGCTTAAGTTTGCGCTGGATGCCTCGTTGGAAACTTGAAAAGCATTCACGACTGACTCGCTGGTACATGTGATTCAGCCTCACATAATGTAGTTTCAGAGGAAGCGTGCGATACTTCGTAAATCTTCTCAATGCTGCTCTCTTGATTGACTTCAACCTACGTAGCTCTCTCGTCTGCCAGGGAGAGTGAGACACTTTGTGGTGAGTTCTTTTCGGGACGTGTCTGTCAATGACATATGCCAAGACATGTGAAAAGGTTTGCGCTGCAGCCTCAACGTCATCTGGATCAAGGATGTTCTCCCATACCATGCTAGACAATACATCTATGATGCTACGGTGGTCAGCTTTACGGAAGTCATAAGAAACCGTAGCAGTATAGTTGCCGAAATCACGCACGAGTTTGTCCTCAACAGTGACAATTAGAGGAGGGTGATGTGGAACTAGCTTAGTTAGTGCACAAGGAGCCGAGGAAATTGATGGAGCCCTGTCCTGTGTGCTCACGGAGCAGAGGTCCAAACTACGACCATTTTCGTTAACTACATGGTTAATTTGAGAAAGCGTCGCTGCGCTGTAGTTGTCGAGAAGGCTAATAGCTCCTGCGTGAAATGTAGAGCTATCAGGATCTGGATACAGGAATCCGCTAGGAGATGGACTCCACGAAACGCCTGGCAGATTGAAGTCACCAAAAATGAATATCTCATCAACTGGAGTGGAACTTTCGACAACTGTGAAAACTGACCGACAGTGAGTATCGATGAGTTCATTGTCGCGGACTCGATCAGGTGGAATGTACAGAGCGCATAGAAATAGTGTGCGATCACCCAGATTCATGGCTGTCCAAACCTGCTCCACATTGTTCCATGGCCTTTGCCTCCAACCCGCTACGGACAGCTACAAGGACACCTCCACCAGTAGATTTACGGCTGTTGTTAGGATTCCGATCGCAACGAAAGACCTCGTAGTCAGGACCGAAGACTTGACTGGAAAGCGTTCGATAATCGAGCCACGTTTGCACAGGACAATAATATCGTAGCAACGATCCGATACAGCTAGGCGGTACTCTTCAACATCAGAATTCATTCCACCGGCGTTTTGGTAGAAGATCACGACGTCCTACTTGCGCCAAGGAATCGAACGACTGCTCTCCCTGGAAATCACAGATACATCAGGCAATAACTGACCATCATCAAGTCTCATTGGATACTCGCCATAGTGAGTGGGTCCTTTAATCCTTTAATGTTTTAAATCTATCAGTTTTGCATAATTCCTATAATTCTTCTACATGAGAGAAATGTCTTAACTATATTATATATGTATTTAGTGAAATACTTCAAATTATATGCTTCATATGCATACTAAACTGGTTTGAAAAACAGAAGTAAAATAAGTATTCCATTTTAAGTATATTCAACGTTCGCTGAGCTGTGTCGAGTTTTCATCAACTAAAGGGCATTCGTTAACTAAAATGCATATCATGTGTCAAACCAGATAATAAAAAAAATATTTGAAAGACATCAGTGCTCATCCGGTTCATGTCAACAAATTAAAATTAAATTTTGACAGATAAATATCCATTAACTTAGTATTTGTAGTCACAGATTTTTAACTTAGCTTACGTCTACAGTATTCAAGCAGCTTAAAGTTAATTTCTTGACCTTCGCTCAAGTCTTAATCCTGGTTTAACTAAATGGGTACATTGGTCCTTAGCGATATTGGCATTTATATGTCACTTACACTCCGAACAAGAAGCCTTCGGTAGAATGTGTAAAGGAAAACTTTCAATGTTTGAATGGATGAATTTTACACTCGATCATTTTCAAATGTTACAGAAAATGAACAGTGAACTATTGGCTCCGTAAAGCAACTTCAATTGGATATTCCAAATATACGATCTAGCTATTAAGAAAGTTGCCCCGGAGATGAACCAGCCTGCGGCTGAAAATCTCCTAAATAGAGATAATAATAATAATAATATTAAAATAGTTCTAACATGTTTGGAAATGTTGTTTTAAAGCAATATTGCGTATTTAAGGGTTGAGATGTTTCATCTGCTCGTCGAGTACTGATGCTTCTTGTTGAGCAGTTGAAAGTATTTTTTGCCTTTTTAGTCTCCAACTCCTTAACATTTTGGGCAACTTTTCGTTTCCTTTTAGCATCGCTGTCCCTATCGATAGTCTCCTGTTTCTTCCTGTTGATAGCTTCCTTGTACCGATCGTAGGAGTTTTTGGCGTATGGCACAAGACTTCTCGTGATTCCGACTTTCGTCACGCCTCCAGCATTCAATATTGCATTATGAACAATGCGACAAGACTTTCTTCTATCTGGTTGATCACCAAGCACTCCTTATTTACGAAAAATCCCCCTTTCCAGTGTGGCATTTCCATGCGACAATATAAGAATTTTCGTGACGAAACCCATCAGGTTTGGAAAAATCTTTGCCAGCAACATTCATAAGCCTCATCCACAATCTGTCCAAACGTTCCTCACTTCAGCGATAATATTTCATCATTTCCTTAAAATTAAGAGCATCGCACAACTTATTATATTTCATCTTAATTTTGTCCGCTTCCGTACCATTAATATTATCCCTCTCCACTAGTTGTTCAAGACAAAAATTCAACTGCTTTATAGCTGTTTCAGGAGAATTCGATATAACAGCAGGGTCCAGGCAAGAAACATATCTGGTCAAAGGGGGATGACAATGGTGATCGGTCTTGCATTGTACGAAGAATTGCTACGTAAAATTCTTACAGTTCTGTCGGGAAATTAGGAGGTTTTTCTCCGACACTATGTTTTTCCCTCACAGGACTTTCAACCGCAGCATTCACAGCAAATCCCAGCTCAATTTTGGCTGCCGGTAAGAAAGAATCATCAGAAAGTTCGACACTTATGAGCGATTTGACATTCACTTTCGAAAGCGCCGGTTGGACAGATTTATCCATAGCTAGTTTAATTAGATTTGTTAATTCAGTGAAAAGAAAAGGCACCGACATACATGTCCTGGCTTTGCTTAAAACTTTCCGGTTTTTTTTTCCTGGTAAAAAACATTTCCGACATTTTCTTGGTTTTCCTGGTTTACTTGCCACCTTGCTATAACTTTGACCATCATTTCAAAAGCTGTTTCACTAACTGTTAATTTCAAAACACTGTCCTCCTTGTTTAAATAGTCGAATTGTCATTGTGCACACTTAGAAATTTTTACAGAAATCTGTAAAATTTTACCGAAATCTCAACAGTTCGGTAAACAGTTTCGCAGATTTCCTGTAATTTTTCACAAATATCTGTAAATTTTTCACAGATATCTGTAAATAATTACAGGAAAACTGTAAAATTGTTTACCTGTTGAGATTTCGATAAAATTTTACAGAAATCTGTAAAATAATCTTAGTGTGTGGTGAAGTTCTCCTTGTTTTGAAACCTTAAAACTGATTCATTAAACTGCCAGATTTTGAAGCTGTTGAAAGTTCGGTAAAAATTACCGAAGTCGGAAATCATTTCTAAGAGTGTACACTACTTGTGCATCACCTGTTGTACCATGTCGGTCTATTTATGTCGGTGAAATTTTTCTGAAGTTTAGTGGGCATCATAAGCTTTTGATAGAGGCATCGTTGAATGTTTGCCGAAATAATGTAAAGAAATATTATCGAAAATTGAAGTTATGAAATGAACAACAATAAATTAAGTCAAATTGATACAATAACTCACCTTAATTTTATCGATAGGATCATCCCAGATCAGCTTGTGCACGAACGGATTCACATAGTGGAGCTCTTTGGGCTGCTTTTGTATATTCTGCTGCTGCTTCTTCGTTGCCACCGCAGCTCTATTACCTTCATCCGGTTCTTGCTTTTGCACTCCATTCCCCGTTGTAACCGTCTTCGCCGTCGACGGTGGCGGCACTGATTCCATGTTGTTTATCTTTGTGCTCATTCACCGATTCTTCTTCTATTTATCGTGTTTATACTACACGCGTCTTTTCTAGCGGTACCGTACCGCGTGTTGCAACGTAATTCAAAATTCGACCCTCAGCACAGCGCAGACCCGGAGATAGCACGATAATTCCTTCGGTGCTGCAACGGATCCGTAATAACACTCCCTTTTGCAGGTACCCAGATGCACTTGACAGTGTTCCCAGTGAAAACTTTCACCTCACCCAGAAAGCTATTTCCTAGGAACTCCGTTAACCGAGTGCACTAAAACTTGGTAGGTAAATCAATTTCGCAACTGCTTCACTTGTATTATGTATTGAATTTTTTCTCTCTGCTTCCACTATTTTTTACTTAATCGCACATCATCAGCGGGCATTATTTTTTCACTTGTGTTTCATTCCGCACTCACTCAGGTTAGACCGCAAGAGACCGCACCAAGCACATCAGCAGAAGAGATCCGCCGCAAAGCGAAGAGGAAGAAAAATTTGCGAAAAAAAAACCTCTCCTTCTTTATCCAACCAAGAAGACGGCTCCGAACAAAACGATAAATTTCACGAACACCATCGCATTGCGAAATACTCGACCTACGAAGAAGACGAATTTTATTGAATGGACATAATATTTTTTGCAATAACTGCATTACTTCACTCAGCGATCGATCAATAATTGCTATGCTTTATAAAAAGGTCCGATATTTCTCCTTGTTTCCAACACCCCGCTAATCAGCGGAAATAACGCAGTGAAAATAGTTTCCCAATTTTCACCCGAAAAAGAAGGAAATTGATTTTTCACTTTTCCTTCCTTTTTCCCAGAGCTCTCTCCTGCCAGCAAAACAACACTGAACTGAACTGGTACGGAAATTCACTTATGAAATTATCCACGTCCGCAAGACGCAACCGCTCGAAGTCAACTACCGTTGGAAAAGGACGACTACGGTGGTACGGACGGATGGAACGGACCGAAAATCCAACCAGCTGCTGCAAAATGGTTTGCTCTTCTCTCATGAAGCGTGCGAGTGGGAGACTTGGGAGAGCGAGAGAGTGTGTTTGAATCGCAACACAGCCGCACACTCTCGTGTCTCGTCTTCGCACGTGTATGGAATGTATGCTAGAGGAAAACCCTCCCGATTATTCCTTTTTTCCCAGTGCGATGTGGGAGGCATATGGGTGTGTGAGTGCCACTGCTCGGTGGCAGGGTTGCCACTTTTAAATCTGTATTTTTTTTCAGTAAAAAATCAGTAAATCTGTACCTATCTTGATGCAACAAATTTCGACGCAATCGACGAGCAAAGTTCATGGAAAATGTTTTCGTAAAAGAATGTTATGGGCATATATTTCCAATTCATCGAAAAAATAGCATCGAAACTTATAACCTCATCATGCTACTAATGCTGCAGTTGTTACAAACGGAATGTCGCAAATTATCGTGGAATCACCACCCTGTGTGCCTGCTCAAAACTGTTCGAGATTATCATAAATGATGCTCTGTTCGCGTATTGCAAAAATTATATCGATACAGAACAACACGGCTTTTACTCGAAGCGCTCCGTGTCCACGAACCTGGTGCAGTTTACTTCTAACTGTTTGCGATGCATGGATTCAGGATGACAAGTCGATGCTGCATATATGGATCTAAAAGCTGCATTTGACGTCTCGTCATGTACGTTATTTTTTTTTTATTAATTACTTTATTTGTACAGGCTCAATCGAATAAACTTTACAGAGCCGAGTTATCATTTTTGGTATACATTATTGATTTCTTATATTTAAAGTTAAAGGAGACTCGCGGTTGTCTCGAGGTTAGTGGGGATTTACATTTTTTTTTTTGATGGGAAAAGGGAGAGGGAGGTTTGAAATGTGGTTTACGATACAAATATTTAATTAATCCTAAAACATGAACTAATTTCTATTCATCTTGAAAACAAACATAAAAAAAAACCCACACGTACAAAATACAAACTTAACACAAGGTTAATAAAACTTACAATCTAATGTTAAAATTCTTAAAGTAAACATATATGAGTTTCATAAACTCCAGATCGCGTCTAGCCAAAATATCCCGAACTGGAACATTAGGTTGTCTACCTCGAGCCCGAAGGGAATCGTACAGTTCAGATCTGACTCCGCGATGCTCAGCACAAGACCAAATAATGTGATCTGCGTCCTGGTAACCTTGTCCACATTCACAGAGATTGCTGTCCTTCAGCCCAACACGGAACAAGTGAGCGTTTAACGAATAGTGATTGGACATGAGGCGAGACATCATACGAATGAAGTCTCGACCCACATCCAACCCCTTGAACCAAGAACTCTTCGACACCTTAGGGATGATCGAATATAGCCATCGTCCCAAACTCCCTTCACTCCACTTATTCTGCCAGCTGACGAGTGACTGTTGACGATAAATGAAGAAAAATTCATCGTAGGCGATTTGTCTATCGTAAATATCGCCTTCCATAGCGCCCACCTAAGCAAGTGAGTCAGCCATCTCATTGCCCGGAATCGAGCAATTAGATGGGACCCATGCAAAGGTGATGACAAAAGATCTTAAAGATAAAGCACTTAAAAGCTCTCGTATTTTCATGAGAAAATACGAGGAGTGCTTTACCGGCCTCATAGAGCGAATAGCCTCGACAGAACTGAGACTATCCGTAAAAATAAAATAATGATCTGGTGCAAGTGAGGCGATCGTTTCTAGCGTATAATGTATTGCCGCCAGCTCAGCAACATATACGGAACAAGGAGCTTGAAGCATTCGAGAGGCGCTATGAAATTCGTTAAAAATACTAAAACCAGCGGACGACTCTATTAGTGATCCATCTGTGAAGAACGATCTTGCGGAATCAACTTGGCCAAACTTTGCAGCGTAAATTGACGGAACAATCATGGAACGATGATGTTCTGGGATCCCACGAATCTCCCGCGTCATAGATAAATCAAAACTAACTGAATTGCCGAAGTCGGAGAAGCATACACGATGAGGATTATGCTGTGAAGGGCTGACACCCTGTGTTATGTACACGTAGTACAATGACATAAAACGAGTTTGAGGGTTCAGCTCAAGAAGCTTTTCAAAGTTTTCGATAACCAGTGGGTTCATTACTTCGCAACGGGAGAGGAGCCTGAGGGACAATTCCGAAAACCGATCCGATAGTGGCAACATCCCCGCTAACACTTCTAGACTCATCGTATGAGTCGAGTGCATGCATCCTAACGCGATACGAAGACAGCGATACTGGATCCGTTCCAGTTTGATGATGTGCGTTTTAGCCGCCGACTGGAAGCAAAAACTACCGTACTCTAAAACCGATAAAATCGTTGTCCGGTACAACGTTAGAAGATCTTGCGGATGGGCTCCCCACCACGTTCCGGTAATTGTTCGGAGAAAATTGATCCTTTGTTGGCATTTTCGTCTCAGATACTCAATGTGGGATCTCCAGGTGCATTTTGAATCGAACCAGACCCCAAGATATTTGAAGGACATAGAATGAGTGATCGGTTTACCCAAAAGTTGAAGCTTTGGTTGTGCTGGGCTATGCTTCCTAGAAAAAACGACCAACTCAGTTTTCTCCGTGGAGAATTCGATACCTAGCTGAATAGCCCAAGTAGACAAATTGTCTAAGGTATCCTGTAAGGGTCCTTGCAGGTCGACCCCTTTGGGCCCTGTCATAGACACTACGCCGTCATCTGCAAGTTGTCTCAACGTGCAGTTGTCACTTAGACAATTGTCAATTTCTCTGACGTAGAAATTATACAAAAGGGGGCTTAAACATGAGCCCTGGGGGAGACCCATGTAACTAAATCGAGAAGCTGTAGAGTTTCCATGAGAAAAGCTCATATGTTTCTCTGACAGCAAATTGTACAAAAAGTTATTAATTAATGGAGAAAGGCCACAAGCGTGGAGTTTGTCTGAAAGGACTTCAACGGATACTGAATCAAAAGCCCCCTTGATATCCAAGAACACAGAAGCCATTTGCTCTTTTTTAGCAAAAGCCAACTGAATTTCTGTGGAAAGCAACGCGAGACAGTCGTTCGTTCCCGTGCTTCTACGGAATCCAAATTGAGTATCTGAGAGTAGGTAGTTCGTCTCAACCCATTTGTCCAAGCGAAAAAGGATCATTTTCTCCAACAATTTTCGAATGCACGATAACATCGCGATGGGACGATACGAGTTATGATCTGACGCGGGTTTTCCAGGCTTTTTAATGGCTATAACTCTCACTTGCCTCCAATAATCCGGAACAATATTGAGCTCCAGGAACTGACAAAACAAGTTCAACATGCGCCTCTTAGCGACGTCTGGGAGGTTCTTCAACAAGTTGAACTTGATTCTATCAGCCCCCGGAGCCGAATTGCCACACGAAAGGAGCGCGAGTGAGAGTTCCAGCATTGAAAAAGGCTGGCTGATCTCGTCTACAGAATTCGTCGTTTCGCGAGGAATCATCTGAGCCGGCACGGAATCAGGACATACTTTTCGCGCGAACTTGAGAATCCAACGATCTGAGTACTCCTCGCTCTCGTTGTTCGAAGACCGGTTACGCATCCTTCGCGCCGCGTTCCAAAGCGTATTCATCGACGTTTCGCGCGATAATCCGTCCACGAATTGCCGCCAGTATCCGCGTTTCTTGGCTTTGATGAGGCTCTTGAGTTCGCGTTCAAGAGCCGAGTACGCTTCGAAATACACGGGTGTCCCACGTTTCCGGAAAAGCTTAAACGCGGCGGACTTTTTACGATAAACCTCAGTGCATTGGTGGTCCCACCAAGGGGAAGGAGGTTTCCTACGCAAAGACGTTCCAGGAACCGGCCGAGTTTGAGCTCGAATCGCGCTGTCCAAGATCAGATTGGAGAGGAAGTTATATTCCTCCAACGGTGGAAGCCCTTCTACCGACGACACGGCTTCCTCTATCGCGGTCTTGAACGTTGTCCAATCGATATTACGGGTGAGGTCGTACGCGACGTTAACGGATTCCGACGGATTGAACCCACTGGCAATCGAAATTTTGATCGGCAAGTGATCACTACCGTGGGGATCCTGGATCACATTCCACGTGCAATCCAACGATAATGAGTTAGAGCAAAGTGTGAGGTCTAATTTACTTCCATTCGAAGATGGTCCAGCCAAACGTGTTACTTCTCCATTGTTAAGAATTGTCATATTGAAGTTATCACAGAGGTCATATATAAAAGTAGAACGGTTGTCATCATACAGTTCCCCCCAGCCTGTACCGTGGGAATTAAAATCTCCCATAATCAACCGTGGAGCAGGAAGTACTGAACATATATCTGAAAGTTGTTTTCGATTAACAACGGCTCTAGGAGGAATATAAACAGAAGCAATACAAAGGCTTTTACCTTTAATAATAGCCTGACATGCGACAACTTCAATACTTGTAAATTGTGGAAGATTCACTCTATAGAAAGAATGGCACTTTTTGATCCCCAAAAGTACCCCTCCTCCACGTGAATCCTCACGATCCAGTCGAATAATGTTAAAATCATAAAAAGGAAGATCTATATCTGAAGAGAGCCAAGTTTCACAAAGAGCAAATGCATCACAATCATTATTGTGAACTAAAAACTTAAAAGAGTCTAATTTAGGAATAAGACTTCGACAATTCCACTGTAGAATAGTGATCAAATCCCCGACCTCGTTTGGAAAATTATCCATCGAAGGAAATGATTGCTGCAATGAGGGGCCACTTCAATGTTAATTGCTTCAAGAGGGTCTTCACAGTAGGAAGCATTGCCAGAACAATGCTTTTGAGAGGATCAGAAATATTCAGGTACTTGAGAATATCGTCCACAATTTTATCAAATGAGAACAACCCAGATGAAGAAGGGGCTTCTGTTCTTAAAAATGGGACATCAGGGGTT